CACACACACTCACACACACACACACTCACACACACACACACTCACACACACACAAGTAACAAGTGCTCAAATTTTCAGTCATACAACTGACATTTCATATACAAATACTTAAACAGGTTCATGTAAATAAAAGAATAAGTTATACAGTATAATAAACAAGAAAACAATCTTCAAACATTTTTAAACCTTTTTTGGGGGGTTGCAAGGAGTAAAAAAAACATCTTTACAAACTCTTAGAAAGACAGAGACTCATACATGACTTTATATAATTCACCAAGGGATTCATTGTCTTCTGATAAATATTTTGTGGAAGATAAATTAGTTTTACACTTCTTTTTTAAAACAAGTTAAAGAGGTTTTCTATTATTCCATTTGCATTTATGAATATGATATTTACCCATAGTAATAATAATGTTCAAAACCTGAAATAAACCTGAAATAAATGTGGTGAAGGAATGTCATTATTAATATTTAATCAACTGTAAAGATCCTGCCAGAACTGCGGGTTCATGTGCGGGAACATGTGACTGGGCAAGCAAAAAATAAATGTTCAATGGTTTCAGGTTCTTCTAAGCAGAATCCCCCCAAAATCTACTTCAAAACAGAATCTTTTCCGTAAAATGTCAGCAGCAGGATTATTAATGAAACATGATTAATGATTTTAAACTGAATTTCCTTCATTTTAGGTAGAATTGGCCATTTCAAATAATTACAGCATTTGTTTCTGAATGTTTCATTATCAACTATTTGAACTCTTGATAGTCAATTGAAATCATAAAATAATTTACATTTGAATACATCACGTTATTGTTACACTTTTTGTCCCTAATGTACACTTCGCCAATCTTCAGTTCCGGCATTTTAACACACACATTTGAATATGTTAGTGTATTTTGTATTAATTGTTTTAGTGCAAGAGGGATGGCTTTACATACAGTATTATATTCTCTAAAGCAGAGGTGTCAAACTCAATTCCTGGAGCGCCACAGCCCTGCAGCGTTTAGCTCCAACCCTAATTAAACACAGCTAATCAAGAACTACATGGCTTGTGTTGGAGCAGGGTTGGACCTAAACTCTGCAGCCTGCTCTAAAGGAACGTTTTATCGCAAATTTCTCCATGAATGCATTATACTGAATTAACTGACCATCTTCATCTATCAAATCGACACCATAAAGAACTTTTATCTCAAACCATTCTTGTTTAAATAGCGTCTTCCTGTTTATTGTAATAATTCTAATATTCCACAAGCTGGCTCCATGTGGTGTAAAGTTGTGGGTAAATATAATTTTCCAGTATTGCAATATCTGGAAATTTGAAAGCTTAACAGGCAATTTGGAAATCTCAAAATCGCATTTCAACAATAATTCTAACCCACCAACTCTTTTAAATATAGCCTTTGGTATATGAAACTAAACTGAATTAGGCTGTGTTAAATAATCTTTAATTCAGTTCAGTTTAAGTACTCGAATCATTGATTCAAACTTTCAGACCTCCAGTTTTAATATAATGAGTTTTATTTTTCCATATAAAATTAAACATTATAGAGATAATCTTTTTGATCAGTTGAGGAGAAACATAAAGAGAAAAGCATGGATAAATTAGTTTAGATATGCCTTCTGCTTTGACAGATGTCTCATAAGCCAATGATTAAGAGATTTTTTCATAATATCTATTCTCTCTTCTATATTTACTATAGCTCTCTAGTACTTGAATCGTTACAAATTGTTAAACCTAGGTATTTCACTTCAAATTTAACCGGAATAGATTCTATACTTCCCTCCTTCCATCAATACAAAGGTAACAATTCACATTTTCCCAAATTTAGACAAAGGCCCGATGCTCTTGTGAAAACTGAAATAATGTTCAAGGCTTTTTGATTTATCTTTTAAAAATAATACTGTATAATCAGCAAATTGACTAATTCAATACTCATAATCAAAAATACTTATACCTTTTAGTTGAGGATGTTTGACAATCAGGTAAGCTAGCATTTGAGTACATAATAAACAGTTTTGGAGAAATTGGACTACCTTGTCTGATTCCACGCAAGATTCATACCTGTATTGAGGGATACATAACTATAAATGTTATTATAAAACATTTTTATAACCTTACAAAATCCTTCTCCAAACCCAAACATATTAAGTTTGTAAATATAAATTCGTGTTCAACGGTATCGAAAGCTTATAGAAATCTATAAATAAAATGAGACTAACTGATTGCATCATTGATTGATACTCGATCATATCCTGGATTAGTCTAATATGATTTTGGATATATCTTCCCTTAATGAATGCCGATTGATACTCCTCTACAAGTTTCTCAAGTGCATGTTTGAGATGATTACACCAGGGCAAGTCATTTATAATCCGTACACAATAGAGTTATTGGTCTAGTGACAAACAGTTTTTTGGGTTTAGGTAACAAAGTTATCAATCCTGTTTTCATTGTCAGAGATATACTTCCTTTCTGAATGCATTCCAAAAATGCATTATATAATAACTTCCTAATATCTTTCCAAAAATGTTTTAAAAATTCTGCAGTTGAACCGTCAGGACCAGGTGATTTGCCGTTTTTCATTTGTTTTAATGCCACATCAATTTCTGCTAAAGTCAACTCATCATCAATTAAGTATTTGTCTTCCTCATTCAGTTTTTGGATATTATTTCTAATTTATTTAAATAAAGCATCACAATCCTCTTTTTTATAATTTATAAAGATTATGATAGAAAAGCCAAATTTCATCCTGGATTTCGTTTTGATCTTCAATTACAGTTTCATTAATTTCAAGTTTATTAATTTTTTTCTTTGATTGCTTTTGTTTGGCAAAAATATGATGAACTTCTTTCACCTTTTTTAATCCATTGGGCTCTTGAATGAATATAAGCTCCATTTGCCTTTTCTGAGTCCAGCTCGTTTAATTGAGATTGCAGTGATTGTAGCTTTGCTGTGTTTTCTGGTATTGCTTCTGTATTAGCTGTCAATAAATGTATTTTCTCAATCAGTTCCTTTTGTTTTTGTTTTCTCTTCACTGATAAGTTTCCTATTTAAATGGCTATTTGTTTGACTTTAAATTTAAACCATATTAGACATATCTAGCGTTCCAATCTCCTCAATGAGAATCATCACCTGTTGACAAAATCTATCGTTCTTTAACAAGTCATTATTGAACTTCCAAATAATAGGAGAGTTCTATGATTTCTTAGAAACTGATAAGGACAGAGTAACCATCCGTAAGT